ACTAATAATAATTTTATTAGTTCAAGTTTTTTGTGTCCCTTAGGAATGTTTTACAGTTTTCTTGTTAACATTTTATGGTAAGTTCATTCAAGGTATTATAGTTTTTTAGCTTCCATTATAAGTAGGGTTCCTTCTTCCATTATATCCTCTGTGACTTATATATGTCAAAGGAATTGATTTCTATAAATTATTATGGTACTCCACTAATTGTTTCTCTAATTTCCTTTACCTTTTTTGGTCTAACTTTATTGACTACTACCAGAATTTAATTCAACTTAATATTTAATATGCTAATAATAGTAGAGTTAGTAGATATCCTTTCCACACTAGGCATACTATTTACTTTTGAGTTGAGATTAAGCTACTTTATCAAGTTAGGGAATTCTCCTTTCATTCCTGTTTTATTAAAAAATTTTTTTACATAGATGAATTTTGTCAAATATGTTTTAGGACTCTATAGAAATGAAAATATGAGTTTTCCCTTTAGATTTGCTGATAGGATGAAGTATACTAATCATAACTATATCATTCCTAATATTGAACCATCCTTGAATTACTGGAAAAAACCCTACTTGGTCAAAGTATATATTTCTGATGTACTGCTGGATTCTGTTTCTTTCTTTCTTTTTTTTTTTGTGAGGAAGATCAGCCCTGAGCTAACATCCATGCTAATCCTCCTCTTTTTGCTGAGGAAGACTGGCTCTGAGCTAACATCTATTGCCAATCCTCCTCCTTTTTTTTTTCCCCAAAGCCCCAGTAGATAGTTGTATGTCACAGTTGCACACCCTTCTAGTTGCTGTATGTGGGACGCGGCCTCAGTATGGCCAGAGAAGCGGTGCCTCGGTGCACGCCTGGGATCCGAACCTGGGCTGCCAGTAGCGGAATGCACGCACTTAACCGCTAAGCCACGGGGCCGGCCCTGGATTCTGTTTCTAATATTTTATTTAGCTTTCTTGTTTTTCTAAATATTCTTGAGAGATACTGGCCTATTATTTACTTTTTTGGGGGGGTGTCCAATCTTTGGCGGGTTTTGGTTTCATTGTTATCTTGACTTCATAAAAAAGAATTTGGAAGCTTTTGTTCTTGTGAAAAAAAATTTTATCAATTAAAATCCAATACAAACAAGTAAAAGCAGTTATTGCAGTTTGGTTAGGTTATAAATTATAGAGGATTTTGTGTGCTGATGTAGTAACTACCACTTAAACTTTAGTTTCTATAGGAAAAACAAATACCAAGTCAAAACTCCTGAGTTAGAATAAAATTTCTGTACACACATTGTTTGGTTCTGTCTTTACCCTGCGATTCCATAGTAAAATTCCCTTAAGGAAATTAAAGAGTTTTGAACACATCCATTTCCAGGCTTCATTTCTCCATTTAAAAGAGTCTTAATTTTTATAGATATTCTACACAATGCACATACAGTAAAATATATGTCATTGTCAAGAATCAAAGTAAAAAGCTTATGTTCTATGTTTTGATTCCTCTCTCTGGTTAATTTGAAGCATCTCCAAATTTCATGTCCAAACTGAGATAAGATGTTAGCACATTTTAATAAAAATGTATGAGCACTACAAGATGTTAAAAACTGATGCCAAAGATTGAACCCAGCCTTGTTTTAAAGGGGCAGACTAGAATTTCCTGAGATAGAAATGTGGAAAGACCATACCTGATCATGATCAGTCTCTACAGGCTGCTTCTTAATGATCCAGGTGATGGACTTGGAGAGTGGCGGGGTAGTCAGGGACCCCGAGTAGATCCAGTAATCTGGGCAGGTGGGCGTCAGGCAGGGAAGATCAAATGACCCAAATTCCACAAGGGCGTCCCTGGCCAAGAGAAGGGATCACTGAGCTATCATTTAGTGGTAAAAACCAGTCAGGAATGGGATGATGAGGCAATGATTCTAGGGGTGCCTAGGGACCAGCAGTGGTCCAGAGGAGCTCCAGGTACCTCTGGACACCTTAGGACAGAATCATGCCCATGCTTTGTTCTTGCAATTAACTGTGTATTTTTTTTATTGAGATATAATTGACTTTTTAAAAAATTGACATATAATTGACAACTGTGTATTTCTGATACTCGTCAGTGGGAACACAGCAAAAACCATTTTCTCCCTCCATTCTAGTGAGTTTACAGCAGGTGGTCTCCTCTGAACTCTTTGGGTTCATAAACAAAGAGGCTTTTCTTTTTTAAGAGAGACTAATAGAATTCTCCTTTCTAAAATGCAATGCAAATTGGGAGGAGCCAGGATCCTGGACTAAAAGGGAGAGAGAGAGGGGGAAGGAAAAAGGAGGAGAGGGAGGGAGAGGGAAAGAGGCAGGAGGGAGACAGACAGAGATGGGGAGGAGAGGGAAAGAGAGAGAGAATATATGGACTTCCAGAGAGCAGCCCCTTTGGGATTCTGAATGTTGAACAATTAATCTTGGGGGTTGGACAAAACTATCCAACCTGAAGGATATAGGTACTGTTCTTTAAAGAATCATTTCTGTCCCCTGCAAGGTGTCCCAGAGCAAGGGGCTCTTTCAACACAAGCATATAAATGGCAAGTTGTCTTCTCTGCAACTTTCAAAGAGAATCTGAATGACACTGAGATTAATTAAATTTTCGAATTCACAGTGCTTTGTTAGTGTTTTCACTCTGAGACTGAAACATAAAGTAGATTCAACTGACTTAGGAAAAAAAACATTACCTCATGTTTAATTGATGGCATAGTATCCACCAATTTCTGTAGCTCTTTATGATGTTTGTGTAGCTAAAGAACAATAAATGAGAAAACATTAAAAACAAGTGACATCTCACTCTAGAATTGTAATGGAATGTCAATTAAAATCAGATACCTGGTGATTGCCTAAAAATAATCCACAGCATTGAAACTGCACTTAAACTCACAATTTAGAATGTTATAAACATCACTGAATGAAAGTAGATACAAAACAAATGAGTAGGCTGTTTGCTCACAGGCCGGAGCCCACAATCTGCAAGAAAAGGCATCCCCTGTGCCATCAGCCTCTCCTGCTGAGCCTCGCCGGCACTTGGCACACAGGGGCTCTGGAGGCTGAAGCTTTCAGAGCCAGCCAGAGCGTGGTAAGGCCCACCCTTCAGCTCAGGCCCCTGAGTCCTCAAGGGGCTCATTCCTGGAACCTCAGCATAATAACCACATTTTCCAGTTTCTGTATTTGATGCTTTGATATCTGAGGCCTTGCTGACACTAGAGGAATTGCTCCTCCCAGGGTTAGCTAATTCCTAGACAGAACAACAAACTGGGAACATGCCTTTCATAGGAAAACCAGCCAATCCAGAGCCTAGACCCTTACTCCCTCCTTTATAGGGTTCTCACACTCTGGGCCACTATTCCTCTGCCCTAACCATCCCAGAATCAGGCACCAGACAACGAGGGAGAGCCTCTGTCCCAGAGCCTACTGAAATTATCCAAACTAGGCAATCCTAAGCCTTCTTATGCTGCCTCACCCATTCCTTCCATGGAAACCACAATAAAGGATCTTGTCCACATTCTCCCCTTGCTCTATCTGCCTCCTGACCAACCCTGGTGCTTCCCCATGCGGCCCTGCATGGTGTGTCATGCCTCCTGTTTTTAGGAATCTGTGAGTGTAATAAAATTCTTCCTTCGTGACAGTCATTTCCGTGTCTGTGTGTCTTACCACACCTGATTAAAACAAATCCTACGTACCCTTAAAAACACTTGGCCTCCGGAGTGGATAAAGCAGGGAGTTTGCGGGAGGCCTGCACCTGCTGAACCTGCAAGAGCCCAGAGGCCCTGCAAAGAGCATGGTCCACAGATTCTCAATCCAGTTCTTCAGTTGCTAGCAGTGTGACCTGGCAGGAAAGCACTTCACCTCGTTGAGCTTCACCTTCTTCATCCGAAAAATGGAGATGCCAGTATTGCCATCAGAGACCTCTTGGAAAGATAAATGAAGCACTTAGCAAATGTATAGTCATGAGCACTCATAAATATTAGTTCCTTTCATGATCATTTCCCATAGTTGTTTGCCTTTATCTTTTTATTCCATTTAAAATATATTCTTAACTAATCTCACATTTTAACCATTATTTATTTGGTGCTATTTGCCTTTAACCTTTTATTCCAGTGCCTAAAAATAGAAATGTAATGCAAACCACAGAGGCAATTTTAAGTTTCTAGGAGCCACATTTAAAAAGTTAAAGAAAAAAAAAATTGGGCCAGGCCCGTGGCTTAGCAGTTAAGTGCACACGCTCCGCTGCTGGCGGCCTGGGTTCGGATCCCAGGCGTGCACCAAGGCACTGCTTCTCTGGCCACGCTGAGGCCGCGTTCCACATACAGCAACTAGAAGGATGTGCTGCTATGACATACAACTATCTACTGGGACTTTGGGGGGAAAAAACAAATAAAATAAAATAAAAATTATAAAAAAAAAAGTTAAAAAAAATAGGTGATATTAATTTTGATAACATATTTTATTTTACCAAATATATTCCAAATATTGTCATTTCAACATGTGATCATTATGAAAAATTATTAGTGAGACAGTTTCCATTTTTTCCATACTAAGTCTTGAAAATCTGTTGTGTATTTTACACATACAGCACATATCAATTTGGATGCTAAATTTTCATCGGAAATACTTGATTTGTATTTTTACACTAGAAAATGTGGATACACATACCCAAGTTGTTCCAAACATTTTTAAAAGTTTCCAATAACTGAATTGAGTATCAGTTCTTAACTTTAAATTAATTAAAATCAAATTAAATTAAAAATCCATTTCCTCAATCACACTAGCCACATTTCAAGTGCTCAACAGCCATACCTGGCTTGTGGCTACCACAGACAGCACAGTTTTATACCATTTGAAATATATTCTTAACAATCTTGTGTTTTAAGCATTGTTTATCTTACCAATGTATTGATGCCAATATTCTTAAAGTAAATAACAATATTGTAATGTTCCATCTTTTCATTCTAGAATACATCATTTAAATAAGTTGCTAAGATTTTTTTACCTTTAAAAATATTCGTATAATAGCCATACCATCCTCCTTCCTCCAGTTGCTGCATTCTCAAAGCTTTCAAATTTGACTGCACTCTGATGCACCAAGTGCAGCTGAAACACCATCAAAAGAAGGATTAATGCCTGAGCATATAGGATCACTCCAAAATAAATCAACAGCCTTATTCAACCTACAATATTTAATTATGTCTCCTCACCCAAAATAAAGCAATATGACAATCTGATGCAAAATGAGATAGAAATAAAGAACAGGAAGAAATTTATGCAGGAGCAGCAATTAATATTACTTTGGAATAAAGAGATTTATTTGGGGAGAAAAATAAAAGAAAATTTACATACCAAAGTGAGTAACATTTCAGTGAGGGATCAACATTTGTTCATTCCTATCTTGATTTGCAGGAAATACTAAAATCCAAAAAAATGCATTTGCGTCAAAAGGAGAGAAGATGCTTATCTTGAGAGAAATAGATTCTCCCTATGGGGATTAGGAGTTGAAGGCACATTTCTTCTTTGAGGGATAACCACTTAAAATGTGTTTCTTTCTATTTTTAATGTAACATTTAAAATTAAATTAGGGGAAAAGTTGTAAGAAGAAATTTTATTTTCTTATGTGCTCCCCATACTTCCCTACAAATTATTCCTCATCCATCATTCATGAACTGACATCACCATCCCTCTGGCCTCCCAAAGTGAGACACCTCAAGGTCATAGTTAACTTTGCCTCTAACTTGAAGAGGTCTCCATCTCCAAGTCTTAATGCTTTTATTGTAGAAACGCTTTTTAAAACTTGCTCCTTCTCTCTATTTCGATTGCCACAGCCTTCATTTAGGCTCCTACCATCTCTCAGTTGGATTAAGCCAACCTTGTGCACCTGCACTGTTGCCTGGGTTAATCTCAAAAAATAAAGCGACTAATTAATTAAATGAAATCATGCTGTGCCACTCTCTTGTTTAAAAATAACCCGTGTCTGATGAGCCTGCCCTCCATCTATCCTCTTAAGCTTCAATGATCACCATTCTTCCTGCCTCTCCCCACAATACACATTCTGGCCACTTTGTTTTTTGGCATTTTATGAACATCTGCTTTTGCACACGATTTTCCCTCAGTCTGGAATGCCCTTCTAATCCTCTTGGCAAACTCCTATTCATCCTTCAATACCCAACAGAAATGTCGCTTCTTAGTGAAATCATCATAGACTCCTCTGAGCAGGCTACATCACAGCCTCCTCTGTGGTCCCACAGCACTTTCAGAAACCCTTTTCCAAAACACACTTGCTTTTTAATTCTACTTTCATGTGTGCTTTTCTTACTAGACTTTGAACTCTGGGAGGTCAAGAATTGAGTTAGTATTTCTGGTACTTAGTGCAGTGCCTGGCACATAGTTGGCACTCAGTAAATGTTGAATGAATAAATAAATCAATGAATGACAAAATACATACATGTTATTAGGTGACCAAAAATACAGAATGTCTTTTTCTTGCCTGACTATTCTTTTGCTCTGTATTGCAAACTTATCATTTAAAATGCAAATAAACAGTATTACTATCTAATACAGAAATTATTTGTAAAGTCAGCAAGCAGAGGAAGATTAGCATATATTCAACACACACACAGAAAATAAATTTCTAGCAAAGTTTTAATTTTACGCCCTATCTTCTAGATCAATTATAGAATCTATGCATAGAGAGATATGTATTAATAGAAAATACTACTTATACTAGTAGAAGGAAACGTGCATAAAACTGAGAAGGGACATTTTTCTTACGCTCAAAAAAGTCCAATGATGAGCCAGCAATTCCACTTCTGGGTATATACCCCAAAGAATTGAAAACAGCATCTCAAAAATGTATTTGTACACTAATGTTCATAGTAGCAGTATTCACAATAGCCAAAAGGTGGTAGCAACTCAAGTGTCCACGGACTGATGAATGGATAAACAAAATGTGGTCCATCCACAGAATGGAATATTATTCAGCCTTAAAAAGGAAGGAAATTCTGATACATGCTATAACATGGATGAAGCTTGAGGACATTATGGTAAGTGAAATCAGCCAGTCATAAAAAGACATATACTGTATGATTCCACTTACATGAGGTACCCAGTATTCAAATTCATAGAGACAGAAAGTGAAATAGTCATTGCCAGGGACTAGAGGGAGGGGAAAATGGGGAATTACTGTTTAATGGGTACAGAGTTTCAGTTCTGCAAGATGAAAAGAGTTCTGGAGGGCCGGCCCCGTGGCTTAGCGGTTAAGTGCACGCGCTCCACTACTGGCGGCCCGGGTTTGGATCCCTGGCGCGCACCGACGCACTGCTTGTCCAGCCATGCTGAGGCCGCGTCCCACATACAGCGACTAGAAGGATGTGCAGCTATGACATACAACTATCTACTGGGGCTGTGGGGGAAAAACAAATAAATAAAATTATTAAAAAAAAAAAAAAAAAGAAAAGAGTTCTGGAGATGAACGGTGGTAACGGTTACACAACAATGTGAATGTACTACTGAGCTGTACACTTAAAAATGGTTAAAATAGGGCGTGTTATGTGTATTTTACCACAATTTTAAAAAAAGGAAGTCCAGCGAGTCCCATGCCGCTGCTAACAGGAGAGGTTCCTGCTGGCATGGAGGCAGTGTGATGTGGCCTGTGCTGACATGAAACTGTCCCTTTAACTCCAGACAAGACCACCAGTCTGGCTCTCACCTGATCTATCTGCAGAATCTTCAAACTCCACGAGGAAAGAGTACCCGTTGTTCCAGATGTGGAGGCAGGTGGTCGGGTCATAAGAGACGGTGAGCGGTTTTAAGCCGGGATTGTAGACACTGTCCCTCCACCGGATGTTGATGGGCGACTGGCGCTCGTCCCCCGGGGCCAGGTCCACGCTCTCCCAGAGTGGGTACACTAGGAGAAAGCACATCCGGGCTATCAAGATGTCCAGCATCTGGGATCACACACCAGCCAACTCCAGTTGTGGAGAGCCTGTTGAGGCTGATGGAATCGAAGAGTCTTAGGAATTAGCTGCTTAGGGGCTTAATCGACTGACTAAAGCAGAGGACAAAGCGGGTCAGAGAGCACCTTGCAGAGAAGCAGGCTTCTGCTGTCTTGTCAAACTAAAGCCACTCAGTTGAGCTTCTAACTTCACCTAAACCAAGTGAGACCCAGTCCTGTGATAACAGTAAAATGCGTGGAGATTAGCACCATGTGGACACAGAGTATTCTCAAATGAGTTTCTTTTCTTTATTGATAATTTTCTGAGCTCAACCTGCCAAATTAGTTTTAAATACCGAGATAAATTAATGACATTTTCAATAACGGACTTATTTTCAACAAAGGAAATGAGGGAAGAGAAAGAAGAATTTTTGGACAGAACGTTCCACCAAGCACGGTAAGGTTTTAATTGGTTGGCTGGGAGAAATGAAGGCTTGTGCGGCATGCATCCTATAATTTAGCTTGCTGTTTCAAAGATTTCTGGAATCCTATACACAACGTAATACTACAGGCTTCCAGGTGAGATGCGGGCACACTCTAGGGTTTTGGAAGAATTAAGAAAGATACCAATGAATCTGGGAAGAAAAGGAGTAATTTCTTCTTAGTGTGAGAAATCTAAGTCAGATGTTCAGGGTTTTGGGGCCGTGTCATAGCATAGAGGAGAAAGGGGGAAATAGGGGACACAGAGATATCTAAGCCCTTAAGGAGAGACACAGACACTTCCTGGATCACAGCAGAGAAGGATGTCAGAGGGAAGAGAACCAGAGAGATTGATCCCATTGGAGGGATTACACTGTCCCATATAAGTGTGTATGCTGAGTTCACCTCCATGTAAGCAAACTGTGAGGATTAGGCAGCCATCCTGCAAACCTGGGTAGAATCTTAGCATTGCTAAGGTCCCTGGAGTTCTGTTTGTCACATGCATAGCTGTGGACATTACATATGAAGGTGTACGTGGACCGTTTGTCCCACATGGGCACTGATGACATCACTGATGATGATTTTTCTACCCAAGAGTCAAGCACCAGGTCTTTGTGGCAAGTCTCTGATAAATCTCAGTGGACTTCCTGTGACACAGATAGAGCTGTTGAGACATCCATGCATGATGGATAGAACCCACGCGTATAATCTGGGGTGCTCCAGTTCTCTGCCCTTTAGAAACACCATGGATGGGTAGAACCAAGACCAAGAGGAAAACTAGAAGAAATATGGATGGACATAAATCATTACAATGACCCTCTGCACCTCACCCCACCGCTAAGAATGAGTCTAAGGATTTGAGAAAGTGACAAGGCAGCTGCTACCCAGTAAACACCCCCTGTGTATGCCAGGGTCACTGGCACTCCACTTTTCATAAAAACAAACAAACAGAAACTTGCCTCTGGTTTACTCTTACAGAGGAGACATTTCTTTTGCTTGGGTAGCTGCTGAAAGCTATAAATTCAAAATCCTAGCCTTAGTTGTTTTTTTTTTTTGTGGCAAAAATGCTATCAACATAGAGCTCTCCTGAGAGTAGACCAGTGGTTCTCAACAGAGGGAGCGATTCTGCCCCTAGAAGACATTTCGCAATGTCTAGAGACATTTTTGGTTGTCACAACTGGAGGAGAGTGCTAGTGACATCTAGTGGGCAGAGGCCAAGCATGCAGCTAAACCTCCTACAGTGCACAGGATTATCTGCTCTCAAATGTCAATGATGCCAAAGCTGAGAAATCTTGGTCTTCCCAAACCCAGAGTATTCTTTCTTCCCGCTATTTCTTCCTATAACACAGTACTGTCTTATCTCTGGAGAGATCTGAACCCAATGTTTTATTTATTTTTCTTAGTATAAAAGAACTTCTTCCTTAGAGAAGAAGAATTTTCTGTTTCAGAAACCTCAAATAGAAAATGCATTTGAACTGGTACGATATATTAATATTATAATCTGATTAGAATGCAAATTAGAAACCCCTAGAACAGCCCTGATTCAGTTTTAAAGATGCCCAGCATAAAAAGACCTTTTAACATCCTCCCCCTGAGATACTCAGACTATGGCTGAAGATTTGAGAATCACTCTTCAAAACCAACTCACGAGGGTCTCCTGTGAAGACCAGGGAGGAGGTGGAATAATGAGCAGATCCCTAAGACGATGCCCTCTTTCACCCTTCATCGTTACCCACTTCACTCAGGAAATGCCCAGAATTTACTCTCACACCCACGAAAACACCAGCCCAAGAAAACCGGGCCTAATCCTTCAATTGCTCTTTTATACCATAATGCTTCTATCAGTTTATGCCCTTCGGTTC